TGGGAGCACCCCACTCCGACCCCGCAGCTCCGGTGTGTGCCTGTGGCTTTGTAGGTTTTTCACAGATTTATGCCCCAAAAGTTGGACACCAAATCCCTCATTTGGAATCATTCTTCAAACACATTAAGAAGGTGTTGGCTCTCATTCTGTCCTCACTTGGAGTGAGAAACTCCTCAGGAGGAATGCCTGTTTAGTAATAGCTGACTTGATAAGCATCTGAATTAGTTCCCTACTACAAGGAATTAATTTTTTAGCATGGTTTAAGGTGAGCCCACATTGTTAGGAATACTCTCTAGGCCAGAAGATTGGCCTGGCCCAACTTTTCTTGACCAGAAGGAGGAGTTTCTTTCTTTTTTTTTTTTTTTTTTAGCAGAGTTTCTCTATGTAGTCCTTACTGTCCTAGAATTTGTATATAGACCAGGCTGGCCTCAAATTCAGAGATGCACTGGCTTCTGCCTCCCCGAGTGCTGGGATAAAAAAAATTACACCATGCTGGGAGGGCCAGTTTTCTCTTAATAAGCCTTCATTGCCAATTTTAACGCCCACCCCAGTCACGCACCCACCCCAACACACACTCACACAGAGGTAATCCTAGAATCATTTAGGAACCAGATCAGATTTTTGGCATCTTTGGCCACTGGCAAGGATGAGGCAGCCAAAAGTCCCAAGAAACTTTCTGGCTTTTAGCCAAAAGATAAACTGGTTACTTTTCTTTGTTTTTTGTTTTTTTTTTCCCCCACTCAACTGCCTAGCCAAATCTCACCTCCTGTTTTTATCATCCCCTTCTTCCTCCAGGAGGTAACCCTAGGAATAACAGCCAGGTACGGGAAGGGAGGAAAAGAAGTCCTTGCCTGGTGCCTGGAGAGTTAGGATGGAGACGGAAAGAAAGGAGTTATTTGCTTTACAAGTCCTAGGCAAAGCATCAGGAGAAGTCAGAACACAGGATGTTTTAAATGTCCAAATCAAAGTCCGTTAGACTGTCTTTTCAAGCTCATAAGAGCTGCTTCTTAGGAGAGAAGAGCTATTTAGCCTCATTAGATGATTATGTTAAAGCAATAGTAGCCTGTCTCTCTTGGCTGCAGATAGACACAACAGTTTTGAGCTGAGGTAAGATCTGAAATCTTACATCTAGGTTGCATTTTCTTATTAAGAAGAAAATTCTTAGTGAGACATAGTTATCTAAATAAGATCTCATGTGTATTTGAGTCCCTGTCTGGGGAATGTGATCCCTTGGATTGTCGAAAAACAAAACAAACAATAACAATAAACCAATGTAATAATCATCTTAGTTTGAGGTGGTATTTTTTTTTTTTGGCTGAGTGTTTAAGATCATATAAGTGACTGAAATTAATCACAAGGCCAGTTGAGGATCTGGTCTTCAGGGTTCACTTGGGTTTGAGAAGAACTTCTGGCTCTTCTAGCCTTCCTTTTGCTTATTGTCTATATGAGAATAAGTCAAAGGCCTTGCTTAACTCTGGCTTTGCTTGGAAGCATTAAGGAGAAATTTCCTCCTTTTTGTGGAATGGTTAGAGTTCACTGGGTGGGGTCTCCATGGTCTCCTAAACAAGAGAACTGTTGACATCTCACAGTTATAAAACATTTGAGCAGTCCCCTGGGACCCAGCTGACCTTGGAGAGCAAGGGGGGAAATATTCTCCCTTTAAATCTTTCTTACCAGGTAGTGGCTGCCCATGTTTTTAATCCCAGCACTCAGGAGGCAGGGGCAGGGGAATCTCTGAGTTTGAGGCCAGCCTGGTCTATAGAGCAAGTTCCAGGACAGCCAGGGCTACACAAAGAAACTTTGTCACACACACACAAAAAGCAAAGCCAGGTGTAGTGGTGCACGCCTTTAATCACAGTACTTGGGAGGCAGAGGCAGGAGGATCTATGTGAGTTTGAAGCCAGCCTGGTCTACAAATTGAGTCCCAAAACAGCTAGGGCTGTTATACAGAGAAACCCTGTCTCAAAAAATAAAACAAATTCCTCTTACCACATCAGTATAGGCCTCTAAGTATAGATATTGAACACTGTCTTAATTAGGGTTTCTATTGTTGTGAAGAGACACCATGACCACGGCAGCTCTTAATAAGGAAAACATTTAACTGGGGCTGGCTTACCGTTTCAGAGGTTTAGTCCATTGTCATCATGGCAGGAAGCATGGTGGTGTGCAGGCCAACATAGTACTGGAGAGGTAGCTGAGAGTTCTTAGTCTGGATCAGCAGGCAGCAGGAAGAGAGAGTGAGGCGCTGGGCCTGGCTTGAACTTCTGAAACCTTAAAGCCCACCCTTAGTGACACACTTCCTCCAACAAGGCCACATGTACTCCAACAAGGCCACATGTACTCCAACAAGGCCACACCTCCTAATAGTGCCACTCCCTATGAGCCTATGGGGCTATTTTCATTCAAACCACCACAAACACCCAGAAGGTCAGGTACACCAGTCTGGTACTTTTGACTGCTGTGTAGTAGTTAGATAAAACTTGGGCAAAAACCAAACACTTCAAAATAAACTTTGATTAGAGAAACATTTTAACCAGTTCTTGTAATTGTTATCAAGAGCAGTTGATAGCTCCATTGATTTAAGCAGAGGTTTAACATCAGAATATTGAGCTTTGACCTTTAATATCATACATACCATCTCTAAATCTCATCTTTTATATACCTTAAATAACTTACTCAGATCTTCATAATGTGAATACGCTTTCTAGTTTTCTTTTACATTCTGGAAATATCCAGCCATCTTAATGTTCACACACAAATCTTTTTTTTAAACCAAAATGTTTTCATTTCTATATTCTTCTAATATTTTTTTCTTACTTACTGGTTTCTTTTTTTTTTTTTTTTTGGTTTTTCGAGACAGGGTTTCTCTGTGTAGCTTTGCGCCTCTCCTGGAACTCACTTGGTAGCCCAGGCTGGCCTCAAACTCACAGAGATCCGCCTGGCTCTGCCTCCCGAGTGCTGGGATTAAAGGCGTGCGCCACCACCGCCCGGCTAGGTTTCTTTTCTTAATACCACAAGACATAATCACACTAACAAATAAAATTATCATTTGTTGTGATAATTTTCCTTGTAGGGGTATGGGCCACTAAGCAATGTCTATTCCAATTGGATTCTTCACCCAGTATATATTACAGCTTCCCCATAGATGCATAGGTGGAGCCCCCTCTCCCTAATTTTTCTTAGCCTATATACTCTAGTTCCTCCCCCAAAACCACAAGGCAACATAACATTAGGACAGAATTACATATAGCCAGCTGGGAGGAGAGGCTGGCTACTCAGGTGAGGGTCCAGTAATCCTCCTTATTCTCTTTTCCTGTGAAGGAGCATTGACAATCAACAAACCCAGCTGTCACCATAACATGGCAGGCCACACATCTCTTCCAAGGGAAGGGATCTGAACACTCCCCCCAGATGGATTTGGAATCCTGGACAAGTTCCAAATCATTAAAAATATTCTCAGGGTCACACAAAGGGACACACAAAAAAGCCAATCCATCTCAGTAAGGCCAAGAGGGTGCGCTCAGAAATGTAAGCATACGGGCTGGGAAGAACCTTTGGTTTTTATTTTAAGGCAGGTTGTGACTGTGTCTTTTTCCCATTGGCTGGGATCTGATGTCACAGGATTTTTCGATTGGCTAGTTGAAAAGAATCAGAGCAAATGAAATGAGGGAAAACTGGAAGAGGTCTGCCACTTAAGTCACTTTACTTTATATAACAAAGGTTTTACCTAGTTGAGGAGAGATTAAAACATTTGCATAAAACTCTTACAAAGTGGAGGATATAAAAAGATTGAAATCTTTGTCATAACTATTTCTACAATATTTGATAGAAAAGACTAGTATTTAACATTTCTTAAACCTCATTCCTGTGCCGGCAAGGCTTTACTGGCTCTGAATACACTAAATTGTGAACCAATTGTTTTAGGTTACATTGTTGTTCCATTATAGACTCAGGATTGGTTTGTCATTGAAAGACATGCTCCTGGTAGAGAGCTCTTCCTACTCCCCTGCTGTGAGTTGCAGGGCAGCCTGGGATACAAAGTGCAACAGTGTTTCAAATAAACCAACCAAAAGCAAACTTCACCCATAGTCCCACTCCAGAGGTTAAAGCTGGACAATCAGGAGTTCAAAATATAACGCTGGGAGCTGGACAGATGGCTCAGCAGGTCAGAGTGTGGGCAGCTCTTCCAGAGGACCTGGGTTCAAATCCCATTGCCCACATGGCAGCTCCTAACTGTCTGTAACTCTAGTTCCAGGGGATCTGACACCCTCATACAGTTATACATGCAGGCAAAACATTGATGCACATAAAATAAAAATAATTTTAAAATATATGTATAACTCTGGCTACATACCATCTTGAATCCAGGCCTTGTGTCAAAACTTAAAAAAAAAATTTTTTAAGCTTGCAGCCTAGTTATTTACCCAGGGTATAATGTATGGCTGGGTATTACACCAATGACACAATGTATCACTCAAATTAAGGACTTGTGGTTCCATCAATCACAAGCCTTCAGAAGTTTAGCTATCAGCCGCAGGGTCATATGGAGTCTACCCAGCCCTCTCTTGCTTAGGAGTGCTGAGTTTCAGGGTCAATGCAGGCTGTCTGTACTGGTCTTTAGTCATGGTGGTGGTGGTCCTCTAAAACTGCCGGGTTTTAAAACTTCACAGTGATTATAAACAATCTCCAACAGCGGGGCTGTGGTGAGCACAGTGCAGCCACTGTAAAAGGGTTGCTTGGCTGACAGTCCCCCACTCAAAAGAACACCTTTGTTGTTGACAGTCTTCAGGGACTCATGTGGCCCAGGTTGGCCTGTAGCCGAGGATCACCCTGAAGGCTTGATCCTCCTGGTTCCAACTCCAAGTGCTAACATGACAGGCACAGCCACCATGGCTGGCTCTAAAGGTGTTTTTCAGAGACCTGTGAATTGCCTCTAGTAACTCCCAAGCGATAAGCTACCTGCTGTAAATAATAACAGATCACAGGAAACTGAAGCCGGAGTGGTTCACCTTTAGAGCTTTATTAGGGAGAGAGAGCCACAGGCTCATGGACAGAAGCAGCCATGATGGGGTCTGAATTAGGAGAGCAGAGGAAAGACAGCCACCACTATAGCATGATGGGGATCCTGAAGGGAAAGAGACAGGCAGTTCAATTCCAGAGAACAATGGGAGACGAGGATGTTGCTCTCATTCATTTAATTCGAGGTTGTCTGGGTATCAGAGGGACTGGGCTTCCAGCCTTAATGGGGATAGAGAGAACCAAACTCCCTAAGGGCTGTCAGGTCACTGCAGATCTCTGTACCTGGCCTTGAGAGACTGCTGGGGGTGTGGCCTGATTGGGGGGGGAAGGGAGCAGCAGCTAGAAGATCTGGGTTCTGACACCATCCTGAGCACTCCTCTGCAATCCCCTTTGTTTTGTTGACTTTCCTTTAACTTTTCTGAGACCGGGATTCAGGTAGCCCTGGCTGACCTCAACCTTGCAGGTAGCACAGGGTTGTTATGAATTACACATGCTGGCAAGAGGTCCTGGTCTGAGGGCTGGGGTAGGTAGAGCCAAGGTGCCCCACGGTGGGTGAGAGACAGAGATGCCATGCTGATGGCACTCAGTGAAGAGTTTTATTTGGTGGGGGTAAGAGAGAGGGGAGAGAGATAGAGGCGGGGGCGGAGGGGCGAGGGGTTCCAGAGGTGCTCACCTCGAGGTGGAATTGAGCAGAGGGAAATTGGCAGAGTTTTTCCTTAAGAATAAGCTTTTACGTCAGGGCATAGGGTGGCACCAAAGGGCAGGATCAGAATAGTAACAAGGATGACCTGCTCCTCCTGCCTCCACTTCCCCAAGAGCTGGGATTACAGGCAGGGGCGACCATACTTAGTTTATTTGGCTGATGTTAAGTATCAATTCATGGCTTTAGACAGACTAGACAAGTACTGTACCCTGAGTTAGACCCCCCCAGCCCTCCTATCTCTTCTAAGAACAATGCTGAACCTTTGCTCTTAGGAGACTGAGCTGTGCTGCTAGGATTCACTGAGGTCATTCTTGTCAGAGGACCTCTGACCTTAGTGGTCATTTCCCTTCCTTATCTTTCACCAGTGGGATCTCCCTCCAGAAAGAAGTCCCAAGTCTCTTCCCTCTATTTCTTGAGGTGAATTAGATACCTGGTTTGTTCTCTGTCCTATGCCCCACCCAGCCCCTTTCCTTGACACCTGCAGTGTGCACTAAGGATGAAGATGTTGGAGCAGATGTTGGAGGTGGGATGGTAAAAGCCTTCAGAATCCCAAGAGAGTTCCTGAAGCAGACTTGGAAGGGAGATGGTTATGCAGTCACAGATCTCACATGGAGAGGGGTCGCTTCATGGCAGGCAGGGTCAATGGGAAGTCCTAGATTGGATTAAGTGGCAGAAGATAATGAGGGCCAAATTCAGCATGTGGTGATCAGTGGGCCTCCAATCCCAGCAAGTAGGACATTTACAGCAGTACTCCCAGTTCCCCTCTGGTGAGAGGGCAGGCAGCCTGGCATAGGCAAAGGAGGGCAAGACACTTTGCCTCAAGAAAAGGTAAAAGACAAGATCCAATGCCCAGGGGGGCCCTGTGGCCTGAACAATATGCACCAAGTCATGTGTTGCCCCATTTTACAACACACACAAATTAAAAAGAATGAGAATGAGCAGAAATTCTGAGGGAGAGCCTTTAATGGCATTTCATGATCTCAGGTAGCCTTGCAAGATAGCAGAGGATTCACTATGTCCCCAGAGAAGACAATAACTTCTGATCCAGCTATCCAGCCTTCAAGAGTGCAGGAGTACAGTACTGAGCTACTGGCCACCCTTTATGTAGTTTGGCAGAAGGAACCCACAGCTTCCTGCACATCGGGGTAGCACTCTGCCAACTGCGTTTGTTCCTCAGTCCTATGACCTTCTTTAAATGCTACATCATATTCATTTGTCTTACATATGTAGGCATGCAGGCTTCAGAGGACAACTCAGAGGAGTCAACTTTTTGTTCTAACACATGGGATTTGGGGGTAGAATTTGGGTCATCAGGATTTATCCACTGAGCCATCTTCTGGCCCCTAGTATCCTTTCTTAATAACAACCCCTCATCTTTGTCTCTAGGAGGCATATTGGTGTGACAGGTAGTGACCAAGTCATCAGGTCCCAGGACCTCTGACTCTTATGGTCAAGTCTGCTGCCAGCCCCCGAACAAGATCTCCATGGAAAGAGGAGAATTCCCAATAGTCTCCAAGTCTCTTCCATCTATTTCTCAAGGTGAGTTAAGACATTTGGCTTATCATCTATCCTAGGCCCCCACAGCCCCTTTCCTATACACCTGTCCTTCTTAAGGATGCAGTTGTTGAAAGTGGGTGGTAAAGATCTTACAACCCCAGGAGGGGATCAGAAGGCAACTTGGAAGGAAGATGGTTCTACAGTCACAGATCTCACCCACAGAGGGGTGTGGTCCACGGCGAGGCAGGGCCAAGGGAAGTACCAAGTTTGTGCTAAGGAGCAGAACACAAATTGATGGGAGGATGCTCAGTGTGCAGATGTGCACATGCAAGCTCAGCACTCAGGAGCCTGCCGCAGGAGAATCACAAGGTTAGTAGGCTACGTGGAAAGTTGCAGAGGAACCCGGGCTCTTACAACAACAAAGCGGAGTGTGGGAGAAGTCTGAGGTAGAGTCCTGACTGGCATTTCTGAGGAAAAGGCCCACCTGGGCACAAGAAGCCGCTCAGCACTGGCAAACTGGAATAGTTCAGTGGCTCTGGGTACAAGAGTGGTGGCTGGTTGCCTGATACCTGGCCCTGGGTGAGTTAGGGGAAGAGAAAAACTGGAGTGTGAGACTTAAATCAGGAAGTTGTTGGGAATACAGACTCAGGATTGGTTGGCTTGTTCAGGATAGCCACGCCCCTGGTAGAGAGCGTTTTTTTCTGTGGCCCCAAACAATGACCTACCCTAAAAGCATAAGTCTCCCCGAAGCCTTCAAGCTTTAGGAAATGCCAAAACATCCTAAGATACAGAAAAGTAAGTTGGGTGTGGTCATATACACCTGAAAACTCAGCACTCTTGGAGGCCAGGGCAGGAGGCTTGTGAGACCCTGTCTCAAAATACAGAACAGAGCTGTGTATGGTGGCACATGCCTATAATCCCAGCACTCTGGAAGCTGAGGCAATATAACTGCCAATGAGTCCAAAACCAAGCTGTTCCATGTGGTGAGTTCCAGGCCATCCAAGGACACCTAAAAAAAAAAGCGGGGGGAGGTGTTAATAAAAGTTAGCTGGCCATGTAGTTTAGTGTCTGCCTGTAACACTAGCATGTGGAAGGCTGAATCAAGAAGACTGTGAGTTCATTCATTTATCTGTCCTTTTGTCTGTTTGTCTGTTGTTATTTTGAGGGAATGCCTCATAGCCTTAGCCCAGACTGGATAGAAGTTACTATGTAAGCCAGAGGCTGTGACTTCAACTATAATGAACTCCTTCTACCTCAGCCTTCCAAGTGCTGGGATTTCAGGCTTCAGGTACAACATCAAGCTAGAATTTTAAGTTTGATTAAATTTAAGTTAATCCTGAGCTATGGATTAAGACTCTGTTTCAAATAATACCACCACCAGGCCCCCTGCCTGCAATTAACCAGTATGGAGAAGCAAGCATGGCGGACTAGCCCAACTGAGGCGGCTTCTTTCAAGCTGTCCCTCCAATTATAGAACAGCCTGGGGAGGCGCCAGCCTACTCTAGTCCCAGCTACTCAGGAGGCTGAGGCAGGGGAATCACTTGGGCTCAGGGATTTGAAACTAGCCTGAGCAACATAATGGGATATAATCTCTAAAATTTTTTAGAGTGAAATGTGGTAGTGCTTAGGAGGCTGGAGCATGAGGATTGCTGAGTTCAAGACTAGCTGTGGCTAAGAAGGGATCTCAGGCTAGCCTTGCCTACACTATGAGAGCCTGTCTCGGAAAATGAAGAGAGTGCCAGGGGTGCAGCTTGGTAGCGTGCTTTACCAACATGCTGGAAACCTGGGGTTCAATCTCTGGTCCCATATTAAACCAGATATGGCGGTGCAGTCCTGAATCATAGCACTCAGGAGGTAGAAGCAGAGCTTGAAGTCATCCTTGCCCACACAGCAGGTTCCAGGCTAGCAAGGACTACACGAGACTGTCAATAAATAAATAAAATAAAATCACCCTACATAACAAAACAATACTGAACAGAAAGAGCAATGCTGGAGGTATGGCCATATTTAAGGTAGCTTACTAAGGCACAGTAACAAAACAGCACGTAGGTAACAGACTAGAATAGAGATCTGGATTTAAGCCTACATAATCAGTCACCTGATTTTTGAAAAAGACACCTGAATATTCCCTGGGGAAGGATGGCTTCTTTCAACAGTGCTGGGAAAACCAGCTCTGCACATGTGGACAAATGAAACTAGATATGTATCTTTTGTCCCTACTCAAAGTGGACCAAAGAGCCTGATAATAAGACTAACTCTGAAACGATCAAGTAGGATACACATAGGCCAGGACTTTCTGGAAAGAACTTCAATCACCCAGAAATACTGCTAACAATGAATAGGATTACATAAAACTGAATGGATTCTAGACACCAAAAGCACCAGCTGAATGGACAGCTTGCAGAAGGGGAGAAAATCTTTGCTGACTACACATCTGACTTGGGATTTAGAGCTCCAATATATACAATTAATTCAAACAACCCAATCAATGACTGTGCTAATGAAATGATCAGTCAGTTCTAAAAAGACACAGTTAGCCAATAAACTTGAAAAATTTCAGCATCATTAGCCATCAGAGAAATGTGAATTAAAACTACATTGAAGAGCTGTGGATAGCTCAGTAGAGTGCTTGCCTAACATCCATTAAGCCCTGAGCGCCACAAGAATAGAAATCTAGGTGAATAGGTAACTTGGCCACTGGAGCTGGGTAATGTTCTTCTCCACCCAGATCATATGCACAATGTAGATTTCCTTCATGGCACAGTAACGACAAGCTCTAAAGCGACACTGGTCTGTAATCTGTGCATAACTACACGTTTGTATTCACCGATTGTCTACAGTCTCTTCTAACATCCTCAAGAATGCACACTCTAATATGGGTCCTTCCACCTACATCCCTGTGGACTTAAGGTCAGTCCTCTCAGGTTAGAGATGTGACTCAGTGGTACAGGACTTGAGACTCGGCATGCATGAGACTCTGGCTTCAACCACTAGCACCCCGAGGTCAGCTCTCTAAAGTATTAGAGGTCAATAGTGCCAAAAGAAAACTGAGCTAGCTACCATCACTACCTGTCATGATTGCATAGATATTGAGATATGGTTACTAACTGCTAGGCCTGGGTGTGTAAGGATGTTATATAAGCTAGCAAATAGTGGGTTAGACATAGAATCATGTTTGAATGTACTTCATGTGTTTCCTGAGTGCTTACTTGATGTTAAAGAAATCAAGCTTTTTTTTTCTTTTCTTCTCCCCCCCCCCCCACCAAGACCCAGTGTTTTTGTGCTTCATATTCCTTCATTTCTTTACAGTTCTGGGTACTTTGTAGGTATTTAGTAATTATCTATGACAGAGTCTGAGAAACAGAGGTAGCTAGCTTGCAGGATGGCACAGAGCCATCTCCACTTTTGGCCTTTATACTCTTGTCCAGTTCCCTCTCGCCCCAGTGAGACTAATCTATGTTGTCCCTGTCACAGAGAGTATTATGTGACTTTAAGATGGCTTCCAAAGACATCGTGGTGGCCACCTTGTCACCTCTCATCTCTGTTTTGAGGTCAGGGGGGTGGGAAACCCACCAATGCACACTGATTTTTAACTTTTAAAAACTCTAAAAAAAAATAAAAAAATAATAAAAATAAATAAATAAATAAATAAAATAAATAAAAAATAAATTAAAAATAAAATAAATAAATAAAAAAATAAAAAAATAAAAATTAAAAAATAAATAAAAATAAAATTAAATTAAATTAAAAAAAAAAAAAAACAGCCGGGCGGTGGTGGCGCATGCCTTTAATCCCAGCACTTGGGAGGCAGAGCCAGGTGGATCTTTGTGAGTTCGAGGCCAGCCTGGTCTACAGAGCGAGATCCAGGAATGGCGCAAAGCTACACAGAGAAACCCTGTCTCGAAAAACCTAAAAAAAAAAAAAAAAAAAAACTCAAGTATTTGTTTAGGGGTAATTTGTGGCAAGGGAAGACACAATAGATAAGTTAAACTAAAATATCCTATTAGGGTAAGGACTGGCCAATAACAATTTTGTTGATTTGACTGGCTACCAAGCAATGCTTGTAATGTCGTCAAGATTTGCATCATAGATCACAGCCTGTGTTGTACAGTTTCAGATTCAGCCTGACTTGGCAGATGAGCATACCTACTTTCGCTCCCCCACTCCTCCTTTTGATTTGGTGATGCTGGGGCCCCAACCCAGGGCCCTTGCCTAACCTAGACAAGCAATGTACTGCTGGGATACATCCCCACCACTTATATTCTGGTTCTTTAAAAAATATTTTTCCTCTTTATGATTTTCTGATACAAGGTATCATTCTATAGCCCAGGCTGGTCTAGAATAAAGTATAGTCCAGGCTGGCCTCTAAGTCAGTGATCCTTCTGCCTCAGTCTCCCAGTGCTGGGATTATGGGAGTGTACCAGCACACCTGGCTTGCCTTGGTTTCCCCAAAGGTGAATAACTAAGGGATCCTCACTGAAACTGACTCTGGATATTCCTTGAGTCAGCTAAGACATCTTACATGCTGATTTCCAGTTAACTTTCGATCCTTTCTGCTTTGAGGTCTCAATGTCAGTTCAAGAGTCAAAGACATTGTTAGGAGGTTTTTTTTTTTTTTTTTTTTTTTTGTCTTAATACAGGATCACAAAAATATCAGGTATCAGACTTTTGGCAAAGCCTAATTAAAAAGTACCTAGCCATGCAGTGTCACATCTCTGTAATACATGCATTCGGCAGGTGAAAGCAGGGGACTGCCTCCTCAAGTTTGAGGTCACCGAGCACTGCATAGCAACAATGACAGCAGCTGGGTTACATGATAACTGGCCTCCAAAAATTAAGAGGATCAGGTAAGGTGGACATGAGGGAACACACCTATAATCCCAGCACGAGGGAGGCAAAGGTAGGCAGATTACTGGAGATGTGATCCCTGCCTGGCCTGAGAGAGAGGGAGTGCATGTGCTTTTAAATCAGTTTGGGAAATGGCGGTAGCTAGCCTTCAAGATGGTTCCTACCAATAGTCATTTCTGGCTGTCACACCATTGCCAAGTTCCCTCTCACTCTGTTGTATGGTGGTATTGCATTCCCCAAAATATTGTGCACCCTAATAAACTTATCTGGGGTCAGAGACAGAGCAGCCACTAGATACAAAGGCTAGAAAATGGTGGCACTCACACCTTTAATCCTAGCCTTCTGGAGGCATGGATCTCTGTGAGTTCACGGCTACAATGGAAACAGCCAGGCATGGTGACTCACGCCTTTAATCCCAGAAAGTGAGCCTTTAATCCCAGGGAGTGGTGGTAGAAGGCAGAACGGTATATAAGGCGTGAGGACCAGAAACTAGAAGCATTTGGCTGGTTAAGCTTTCAGGCTTCTAGCAGAACAGTTCAGCTGAGAGCCATTCGGATATGAGGACACAGAGGCTTCCAGTCTGAGGAAACAAGACCAGCTGAGAAGTTGACCAGGTAAGGTTAGCTGTGGCTTGTTCTGTCTCTCCGACCTTCCAGTATTTCACCCCAATAACTGGCCTCAGGTTTGATTTTATTAATAAGAACTTTTTAAGATTCCTGGACACTGTTGAGTTTGGTCTATGTGATCCCTGTCTCAAAGTGAATACTATGTGACTTTAAGATGGGTTCAAAAAAGCCGGGCAGTGGTGGTGCTCAATTTTAATCCCAGCACTTGGGAGGTACAGGAAGGCAGATCTCTGAGAGTATGAGGCTAGCCTGGTCTACAGAGCGAGTCCCAGGACAGCTGGAGCTGTTACACAGAGAAACCTTGTCTGGGGCGGGGGGGGGGGGGGGGGGGGGGGGGGGGGGAGTGGGGTTCAAAAGACATAATGGCACATATCTTGTCTCTCTCATTTCTGTTTTAAGGGAAGAAAAATATCATACTGATTTTTGGACTTTTAGAGACTCTGAGTAAATAACTGTTTAGGGGTAATTTGTGGCACAGAAAGAATAAATAAGTTAAACTGTATTTCAAGCATCATGTTGGCATGAGGACTGGCCAGTAAAAATTTTGTTTACTTGCTACCAAGCAACGCTTATGATGTCATCGGGATCAGAACCCTCACTAGGTAGATCCTTACCTACACAGTGACAGTTAGCTCAGACTCAGCCTGACTTGGAAGGTGAGCACACCTACTTTCACTTTCCCCTCCTTCTTTTGATTTGGTGATGCTGGGGCCCCAACCCAGGGCCGTTGCCTAACCTAGACAAGCAATGTACTGCTGGGATACATCCCCACCACTTATATTCTGGTTCTTTAAAAAATATTTTTCCTCTTTGTGATTTTCTGATACAAGGCATCATTCTACAGCCCAGGCTGGTCTAGAATACAGTATAGTCCAGGCTGGCCTCTAAGTCAGTGATCCTTCTGCCTCAGTCTCCCAGTGCTGGGATTATGGGAGTGTACCAGCACACCTGGCTTGCCTTTGTTTCCCCGAAGGTGAATAACTAAGGGATCCTCACTGAAACTGACTCTGGCTATTCCTTGAGTCAGCTAAGTGATTTCCACAGTTAACTGCCAGAAGGAGAGGGCTGTTCCAGTTTCTGTCCTTTCAGCTTTGAGGTCTCAATGTCAGTACAAGAGGCAAAAGACATATTATTACAAGCTTGTTGTTTAAAAAAGAGAAAAAAAAACTTTTCATGTAACTACACAAAGCTTCCAGCAAAGCTTTAACACGAAAACTTGGCCAGGCATGGTAGCACAACTCTGTATTCCCAGCACTTAAACAGGATGAAAGATCAGGGATTTCAAGGCCAACCCGAGCTACATACCAAGTTTAAGACTAGCTGGGCTAAAGGGCATCCAGTCTGTAAAAAAACCAAGGAGGCTGGGCATGGTGTCAACACTGTAAGGCCAAGACAGGAGCGGAACAAGTGTAGCGCCTGTTCACAGTAGGACTTCGTCTCGAAAATCAATGGGGGGGGGGGGGGGGGCACCACCTTATACTTTTAGTACCATTATAATAGTGGGTCCTCAAATAATGTCCGTTTTGGTCAGAGTTTAGAAATTTTTATTATATTCACGCACACACACACGTTGGTTAATAAGGATGAAGTTTTACTTAACCTGTGCCATGGTCCTTCATTTGGGAAGGAGATCTGGATGTTACCTAACTTGCAGGTTCCAGGTGACATTAAATACGCTGGCGTATTTACAGCAGGTTCTCAGGAACTCGTACCCCGTATCGTGATCTCCTTTGGTGAGCTCTGATCCTTTAGTCTTGGCTCCTAGGAGATTTGGTTCAAATTAACGTGCACCAATTGTCTTTTTTTCAGATCGATATTACTCGACTGTCAAGTCAGCGAATCTGTGCGTCTGGTCCGGATTTTTTGTTGTTGTTGATTTCTTTTTTGGTTTTTTGAGACAGGGTTTCTCTGTGTAGCTTTCCACTTTCCCTGGAACTCACTCTGTAGCCCAGACTGACCTCAAACTCACAGAGATCCGCCTGGCTCTGCCTCCCGAGTGCTGGGATTAAAGGCGTGCGCCACCACCACCCGGCTGGGTTTTGTTTTTGTTTAAACTGAGGCGAGCTAGTAAAACATTCTCCAACAGCCTTTGAGCGGTCCTTAGCTAGAGCCACAATTGCAGCTACCTAGATTCACATTCCGGTACCTTCACCATCACCAGGGGCTGGGTCCGAGGGATTAGTCAATAACGGGCAAGAGGGTCCACAATTCCCGAAGCATCACTGTATCTGAGCTCCCAGAGGCAGGAGTTGTCCGTTAGTAACGCCCACTGCGCGCGGGATGCAGGGACAGTCCGCAGGCTCACTGAGCTCAGGCTCCCTACTCGGCACCCGTAGGGCTGGGCTGGGCGCAGTAACCGGAAGTATCCCCTCCCCGAGCGGAAGTTCCGCATTGGCTTCTTGCACTGGTGGAGCTAGAACTTCCGCCGGCTCCGTCCCCTCCCACTTCCGGTAGGGAAGAATGAGTTGGTCCCACATGGGCGAAAACTGGCTGGAATATTTTAGTGGTGTCGTTTTGGGGCGGCAACCAAGGGTCACATTAGACCAGGTGGCTATGGACTCAGGACTCATCTCTTGCTGCCCTTGCAAGACTCTTTCAAAGCGCCTAACCCCCTTTGACTATGACACCTAATTTCAGTCTTTCTGTTCTTCCCCAAAGTAAGCACTGTGTCCAGAATGCCCTCCTGAACACTACACATCCATGTAATATATATTTAAGAACCACTTGGGTTTGATTCTTTTACTCAAACATGAGTAGAGAGCTTGGTATGGTGGCCCATGTCATTAGTCCCAGTACTTAGAATTGAAAGCAAGTGAGTCAAGAGTTGTGGATCATTCTGGGTATATAGCCCATTTGATGAGAGCTTGAGCTACAGTTTCAGAAAAAAGAGGGAGGGATGGAGAGAGGAGAAAAGGGAAAAATGAAATGGTGAGTAGGTGGGAAATCACTGGTATGCTGTTTACTAGTTGACCTGGATCCCCAAATACAAAATATGAGCTAGACTGGGCTATAAGTCTTAAGATTCTTAAGATATCTTAAGATATCTCTAAGTCTTGAGATTCATAAGTTTATGGTTCTAGGGCCTGAAACTAACCCATAGTCTACTCTTCATATTACCAACTCAGGATTGCCATACTGATTAACTACAGCAAAAGATATATGGGCCTAATGTTGCAAAATTATGGGTAAAAGGATGGTAGCAGCCTGCTGCCTCTAAACATTAGCCAACCCCAGTGAGGTATCCATGTTTGTAATCAGAACCTGTGGGAGGTAAAGACGAACTAGGGAGGAGGTCATCAACTACACAATCAGGTTAGAGCCATCGTGGGCTATATGAAGCACTACTTGAAAAAACTTAGCCAAACAGGTTACTTTATATATCTAAGAGTGTGTATATTGCAAGAGTGTTATAGTAATCATAACCTAGTCCCTAATGCAAATGCAGAGTGTATTATAGCAATCCTGACATAGTCCATAATGCAAATGAAGGATTGAGTTTGTACCAAAGGCCTTCTAGGAGACTGGGGAAGGGGGGAAGCATCCTCTAGCCCTGGTGAAAATGGCTACAGGGTCATCTAGAGTTTCCTCTGGCCTGTCTTGGATAGGAGTGCTGCTTTCTAAGCCATAGCAGGCTGTTGAGATTGATTGTCTATCACAGGTCTTTAACCATGCCTGTAGTGGTGGTCTGCAGCTGCTGGAGTGTCCTTGAACTATAGTGTTGACACTTTAGTGTTGACAGAATCAGAACGGCCATGAGGACAGTACATCTAGTCCACAGTAAGGGGCTGCTTGAATGGCAGCTCCCCACTCAACAGAGATACCTTTCTCTGTTAGATTTTTTTGAGATAGGGTGTCACGTAATGTAGGCTGGCCTATAGTGGACAACAACCTTGAACTCTTCATCCTCTGATGTGCATCTCCCAAGAACTGGATTTACATACATGCAAAACCAATAAGGATTGTAAATTTATTTTTCATAGATATGTAGTTTTTGTCCAATGACACCTGAAACAAACTACCAATCGAGGCTGCCTACCTTTTTTTTTTTTTTTTTTTTTTTGGTTTTTCGAGACAGGGTTTCTCTGTGTAGCTTTGCGCCTTTCCTGGAACTCGCTTTGGAGACCAGGCTGGCCTCGAACTCACAGAGACCCGCCTGGCTCTGCCTCCCGAGTGCTGGGATTAAAGGCGTGCGCCACCACCGCCCGGCAAGGCTGCCTACCTTTTACATCTACCTTTACATGGGCAATTCCATCAACCAAGAAAATCTTTCCATCCCCAGGCACATGGACTGACACTCATTGTTAGATTGTAATCAACTAACTTAACCTAGAAGCTATAAAGTGAGAAGTATAAGGACATCTAAAACATAGTCTTGTAATGACTAAATGACTTAAAAGATTCACATAACCTAAGGAGGAAAGCTGGCAACACACGAGCAGAAAATCACCTTGGAAATCAGACACACCAGCTAATACTTTCACGAGTGCTGGGAAAGAAATGGGCTCCTCCATAATATTCATGTGATGCTAATAAAACCAAGGTTGGCAGTTCGGAAAACTGTTCAGTCAATAAGAGAACTTAGAGCATAAGCAAGAGGACATGAGATCAAATCTCCATTGCCCGTGTAAAAGGCAGGCATGGGGACACATGCCAGGAAATGAAGAACAAAAACAGGCATATCCAAAATCGTGAGCTTCAGATTTATTGAGAGGGCCTCTTAAAAAAAAAAGGTGTAGAGCAATAAAGAATGACATACAGTGTCCTACTCTGGTCACAACATGCATGAAAATGAACTTATGCATAGCGACACATACACAGGACAGAGAGAAGAAACCAAGGTGTTATTCACAGTAAGCAAACAGTACACAAACTGGGCAGCAGGAGCAGAGATGTCTCCATGAGTAATGATGCTTGCTGCCAGGCCTGATGACATGAGTTTGATTCCCTAGATCCAAGTGGTAGAAGGAGAGGACCAACATTTGCAAGTTGTTTTCTGACCTCCAAACATGTACTGTGGCATGTGTGCATACATACATATGCACACACACAAAGATTATAAAAGAATTTTTTAAATAAAAAATGGGTGATGTAAAAGATTGAAGATACTTAATGAATTTTCAAATATTTGGTCCAGGAAGCTTGTTGGTATGTGTGGACAGTAAGGACCAATATCTTGTGGTCAAGTTCATTACTGGACCCACACCAAGAAGATCTCCCCTGCAGTGATTTTTCTCCAGATCCTCCAATTTACCATCACCTATATCTTGAGGTGAGTTACACACTTAGCTTAACATATGTCCTAGGTCCCTGTACCATCTTTCCTACACACCTGAAAGTGTACTGAGGATGTAAATGTCAAGAAGTGAGAGGTAAAGACCTTGGAGCTGCAGGAGAGAGAATAAAGAATACTTGGGAGATGGTTATAGAGTCACAGATCTACCCAAAGAAGGGGTTACCTGACAGGGAAGTCCAAGGTTGAATAGAAACAGGGTAAAAAGGCAGTGTGTGGTAGTGTGGGTTAAGAATTTTCATACTCAATGGCTGCAGGTAGAAGGTGTACTAATTCCAGGACAGCCTGGAAAATAGAGGATGTTCCAGGCTAGCCAGGACTTTCAAACATGGTGCATGGAGAATATGGGAGAGATGACTTAAAGCATATAAAGTCCTTTCACAACAAGCTTGAGGAGCCAGAGTTTAAGTCCCCAAAGCACATGTAAGAGCTGAGAGACTATCATAGACCCGTGAGAAGTAGAAAAGGGAGACTATCAGGAAGTTTCTATGCATGTAGCCTAAAGTACACATTAGAAAAGAGACCCTGACTCAGAAAAGATGGACAGGGAGGAGCAACACCAGTGGAAGTCCTGAGGCATCCATTAGAGGTACCATGACATGTGTTCAGAACTTCAAAAAGAGTATATGAAAATGAGCTCAGATTTTGATGGACAGCTTTGAATGGCACTTCATGGTTGCAAGTAACCATGATAGATTACTAAACTGATGGTACAAACAAAATGACATTGAATTAATGCTCAAACTGCCTTCATCTTTGGGACCGATAGACTTAAACACCTGAGCTTTATGTGCCACATATGCATGACTAGAAAGGAAAAAAATTATTTCCAATACAGCAAATCAGTACTATATACACAGACTTTATACTATTTGAAACGTCCTTTCTTATTTAAAAACATTACACAAATTCTGTGTGTTCTGGGGAAGAAAAAAAATTCTAATACACGATAAAAGAGCTGGTAAGGGCACACCTAATGGACAGGAATCACATACAACAATATGGGTCTTGATCAAAATCAAGAGTAAGAATGGAAGCAAAAACCTTCATTCATTGATCCATCTTGCTGGCAAAAAATATTTCCTTGATGATCATAAATCATTCTCCTAGGAGGCTGATTGGTACGCCCGGCCAGTAAGGACCTAGGCCATCAGGTCCTAGGACCTCTGACCCTCTGGGTCAAGTCCATTACCGGACCCCCACCATTGGAGCTCACTTGCAGGAGGAGACTTCCACAAGTCTCTGAAGCTATCCCCCCTATTTCTTGAGGTGAGTGGGATACTTGAATTATCATCTGTACCATGGCCCCCCACCTCCAACTCATGCCTAGACAGCTCTAGGGTTCTGCAGTTGCAGATGCTGGAGGTAGGATTGGTAGAGACCTTACAGCCCTGGGAGGGGACCAGAGAAGACTTGGAAGGAAGATGGTTCTACAGTCACAGACCCCCGTCCCCATAGAAGGAGTGCTTCCTGTGCTAGGCACAGGGGAGAAGACTTGGGATGGATCAAGAGGAGTGGAAGTCAAGGATGAGGGCCAAAAGATCATGTGGTTAAGGGAGTGGTGGCCTGAGATGCCACCACTCAGGAGGCTCACGGAGATTTACTGTTTAGAGATTAGCCTGGGAAACATAAGATGTCCCAGGCTGGCCTGGACCCTCAGAAGTGGAGGAGAAGGAGTGCTGAGGAGATGGCTTATTGGGTAAGACCTTGCCAACCAGCAGAGGATCTGAGTTTGAGGCCCAACAATACAGGCAAAATTGAGGGAGTAGCATAGGTCATACTCAGGGGCTTTCTGTGGCCACCTGGGAGGCAGAGCTGATACAAGCAGTCCAGAAATTCATAGGGCAGGAGGCTGGGGGAGCACAATGGAGAAAAGGCACTGTTTCAAAAAGGTGGAAGGCTAGGACCACATCCTGTGATGCCTGGTTCCCTCCAAATACTTGCAAGAGACATGTTGCTCCTGCTCACAGGCAGTGTGTGCATGTCCAGTCTACAGGAGACAGAGAGGCAAGTACAAACAATGACATGAAGCAGAGTAAGTGGACATTCTGAAGGTG